CCTTCTCTATAACATTTCGGACTGCTTACTGCTTTTTCTGCTGCTTTTCTCCGCTAATCAGATACTTAGCACTTTTTTGTGCCTATTTGAGTTCCGTTTCCCGCAATTTGCGGTCGCGAACTGTGCCTTTAAAGGCAGTTGGCACGATAAATCCCCCAAGGCGACTAGGATCAATACTCCAGGATAGAATTCCGCGACCCTGGGCAGGCGCTGCATAGCGGTTTCCCCGAGGAAGGTGCCCTTATAAGGGCCCTATCAAGCCACAACTTTACGTCCCAAACGCCCGCCACGCCCGCCCGCCCACAAATGGACGACCGTTCCTGACGCTCGTATTCATTCATTTGCTAAGCAAATTATGAAGCGAAGGGATTGGTATGAAGCGGCCGTGATGCTGCATGCATACATGGGTACACATATGCAGCCGTATCTTCGGTAGCGGTGATTGGTAAGATGCCTACGGGAAACTCGTCCGAAATCGATTTACAAGTCACTGAGAACGGAGGCTTTTTCTTCGCAGGATTTTGACCGTTTCACTCCGTTCTTTCGCCATTTCCCCACTATACAGCGCCCTACTAGCATTTTAGGCTAAGTAGGAAACCATCGTGCCAACTGCCTTTAAGTGCCGCCACAGCTATTAATAGTGGAGAATGAGGGGAAAAGGGCTTTTAATACGGACATATGAGCTTGAGCAGAGGTCTTGTTCCCTTTTGAGAAGACGGTAGGGTCCTCGGAGAGATCCTTGTTATTTTTCCAGAATTCTAGCTAGACATACTTATTGGAGATTGTTAGCAACTCGACCCGTGAACAACAAGTTCGAGTGGGACCCCAGGAGAGGAGAAGGGGATGTAGTGGTAAGAAGCGTGCTTTCTACGAACGCGGTCTAGGGATCAAATCTAGGATCAGCTTTCGTCTAAGCCGACCGGGCCTTCCACCTTCCGGGAATGGCGAACTAGTACCCGATTCAATAAGCACACTGACTCATCTATTGACTGGCCCCCGCAAGTCGCTGTATAAGTCTCATCGCACTCAGTACGTTACAATGATTCTGAGTGGACAAAAAATGCGTACCGCATCTCAACATTCCAGTGAAGAATCGATCATGGACGAAGGTATTATGGTGTAGCATCTTCCGCTTACCGAGTAGTTGCCTTGGCCTTCTGCCAAGAATCCTGGGTGTTCAACCTGCGGCAGATCATTGGCCGTTTTCTCTTCGGAGCCGTAAATTAAGCTCAAGCCAGCCGATTCTCGCCTTTAGGTGAACAGTTTTCTGCTCGCTTGCAAAGAAATAGAAATATTTGTACAGGCAAGGGCGTGTCGTTGTATAATCCCAGCACGTAGTCGCATGCCTATAATTTCAAAAAGCAGTCCAATATGTGGAGCGTTTTGCCTAAAGGTTAGCTAAAGCTGGGCACTTGGCCCTGTAATGCTTATCGTGACATATGTCGTCTTCCTGGCTTTTTTGCCCACCCATATCATCTGTTTCAGCAGGCCAAAGAAGAGACGGACACACCGATGCCAATGGATTCGTTGCGTCCTCAGATTACTACAGCTCACGATCAACCTGTTGAACAGATGTCAAATTAAATTTAATCTTGATGCCTTTCGCTGTTCTGTGTTCCCATTGAATGATCTCGATAATAGCCTTCACTTTCCTCGAACATATGATTTGTACCGGTTATTGATTGGTTCTATTGAGTTGAGTGACAGCAGATCAGAATATATTTCAAAATTACACTTCAATTTTTCTTGTGCGTTATGTTCAGGGCCAGACTTGGCAGTTAGCCGAGAAGACTTAGCACTGCTATCGAAACAGCACAAGCTATCGGGGTGCCTGCCTGCCTCATTCTTGTTCTGTGCGAAATAGTGCAGTCAAGGTATACTGGAAATCCCTGAGATCGGGTAGGCGTGGCCGCTTCTTCAACTTAACCTGAAGGTGTCTATGCTTCTGGTGAGATATTTCATCTTGACACAATTGTTGTCGTGTCTCTGTCCAACACAGAACAAGATGACAGTTGTCCCAGACTGGAATATTCCACGAGTAACCAGTTCCGTGCCATGTTCAAATGCCACGCCTACTCTGGCTCAGGGATAAGGAGTGTACAGCATGGCTGAGAGTCTCCCATGAGGAGTACATGGTCGCTTGGGAGGATTCGTGTTCGGTCCATGGGTGTCGAAGCTCTCCTCCCTAGTTGGCAGTGCCGTGTATGTATACACAACTACCATACTCGATAGCTGAAGCTAGTAGTTACTTGGTAGCAGCCATAAATTCCACGATGAGAGGCATGATGGGTAGGGAGACTGCAATGGAGGAAGAATTTTCGAAGTTACTAGTCTGACACCATCCCGATTGGTGTTCCTGGCAAATGTAGTGCGGTCCTGTTCGTGCAGATGCAGGGGCGTATCAGGGTTCTGGCTTTGGGGTGGCGCCAGGACTTTTCCCACCAATTAATGTCGCTTACCCTTTTCAACGAATGGTCGAGAACTGAAACGCCGCAGCGAGCAAAGCTGTGGATGCGATTGCGATGATTTCCAACGGTTGATGTTTTTCTGATCCAATCCACAGAAAACAAGCTCACCTATATGCTACATGTAGCACGAGTAAGCATGATGCTAGTTGCATTAGTTCTATTCAGTTCGACCTGGGTTTAGTTAGAAAAGTTTTATGTAAATATGAATAATTCGTATAACAAAATACACACATAAGAAATTTTCTACAAGATCAATTTTCGATCGTAAATCTGAGCGATCTGGTAGTGTTTGCGTGATGAATATGGTAGCGAATCGCCATATTATCAAGCATATCGTTTCAAATAGCACAAGAGTTGCAATAAGGCCTGAAATGGAGAGCAAATCAAATACCTGGCAGATTGGGACGACTGTTTTCTGTAAAAAATGTTCTCACTTACCTATTGGTGGCATTTTTGTATAATCTGGTGGTAGATTCTCCAGTAGTATCGCACCGTTTATAATTTCGACGGCGAGACAAAGCAGCAACCAGATCAAGCCGTGGTGGGAATGTAGAAGGCAAAAAGCGTACGTCAAGCTGAAAAATATTTTCAAATACAAATTTCCTATTTCATAAGCATCGTATGCCCTCCTTTGGAATGCGAAAATTGGGGAGGTTAAACTATCAAAGTTTTCCCAAACGCCGTGACGTGGTGACCTCAGTATCGTATCAGAGCTCTTCTTCACTCTCGTTCTACCTTCACAAAGGTTTCTACAATCATACTATTCACATTACTCAGGCCCAACTGCTCTATCCAGTTGCTAGAAACAACTATCCTGATCTAACAAATGATGGTCGGTGCAACCCATTTTCGATGTCAGGTGGACTTGAAGGCCGTTTCAACTTTTCGAAATTTGGAAAAAAAACTTTGACGGAGTGAATCTAAATCTTCTTGAGCAGTGAGAATACGAAGCGGCATCGAAGCTATAGTCTGATGAGGAAATCACGAACCAGCTAATAGTGAACAATGGCATTGCCATTCGAGTCACGTAATAAATATTGTGACGACGGAAAACCAAATTATACCAATACACAGAGCGGACCATCTTTGGTGGATACCTGAACAGTATAATATGTAGTATCAACTCGAGAAAGTAGTTTTTCATGAAGTAAACGGCAATGGCGAAACAAATTCTGGGAAGACCGATGAGCTCACAGATAAGGAGCTTCTTAGTCTAAGAAATTCGAGGGCAGGGCTATCGTTTTCCCGGAGGAATGGGTGCAGGCTATTGCAAAATTCATGACTCAGTAAAATTGACCTAAGGTACAGAAGAAGTACAAAAACAAGTGCACTAGCTTACAGATCACAAGAGGGGTTGCTCGCTATCACACGGAGGGCGCAGCTCTACGTTGCGGCGAGCGCGCGCGAATTAGCAAAATGTTGCTTGTCTAGTTGACTCAGTGCAGCACCTTCGTGTTGGATTGAGTCGTTTTCCTTTTAATGCTGCTCACGTGACCTCGCTTGTAGGACCTTTTCGCTCATTCGCATCGAGGAAGTGCTGCCCTACATCCCATAATTAGATTGTACATGTAACGACTTAATGGTGAGTACTGCGGTGATATAGCAATTTCCGAAAAATTGCGTAGGTTCTACAGGTACAGGTATGGGCCAGGTATAAGTCGGATTATACGAAGTTTGAAAGGACCTAAATGCCGAGTGCAATCTAAAAAGCTGTTCAATGGCGAGCAATTCTCCGTTTAACTCAGTCCTCAGCAACTTTTCAGTAAACGGTAAAAGCACCAGTCGTTGAAAGCAGGGTACAGATCTGTTGTGGGAAGAACAACAGAGAAGGTCGTATTCGGCGCCTCCGCACAATTTTGGGAATTTTGTTAAGGATAAGGTAGGCACTAAAAGCAGAGTCGTAGTTAGTGAGGAAATTTCAGAGGTGTGGGTTGTGCTCAGGGAAAATTTTCCACAACGCAATGAAGTTCCCAGGCTGAGAAACCTTGCATACCTGTCAATATTCTCCACTAGTTTGGATCCTGCTAACAAGTAAACGTTTTTTGAATCGATTCTCTCCAGAACGAAGTCGCCAACGTCCACCTTCGATGGATTTGTACCAGACTTGGATCGGTAGAATGCACTTTTCTCTGCTCCACCGTATTCAGTGAACTTCATCCTGAATTTTTTATTCTTTCTTTCTTTATCATCGTGATCAAATTGCAAATAAATATAGAACGGCGAGGATGTGGGCCTACATGCGAGCCTCGTGCTGGTGCGGTCATAAGTGTGTCGCATGAGACGTGCGTAAGGTCTGCCGTTTGCCTAGCGCGTTTATACTTCGCGGCTCTTACAATGCTCTTACAACGTGCTCTTACAATTGGAGCGCTTAATGGTTTTACGAGTGTGGAGAGTCCGCAAGTCAGGGCACGTTCGAGGATACTCCTCGCTCGTAATAGGCTACAAAGTATTGAATGGAAATTGACTGGCTTGGCGCCGATTCGGGATGTTTCGGGGCTTCGTGAACTGCTGGATTAATCAATCCCTATCTAACACTTTGTCGACGACCAATTGTGGACTCTCCACACTCGCCAAGCATAAACGCGGTTTTGCGAGCACGCTACCGCGCTCGCGATAACTGGAAGCGGGCCATCCTTGCAACCGAAGTCTCTAACCCACACCCATGCACTGTAATTCTTGATGTTAATTATTATTTAAGAACTTACTTATCTATAGTAAATGGACTATACATTGTAAATGAACAGTTTTGATTGTCGTTTGGATAGTTGTCGTATTCGAAATAACATGATGTTTTCACAAGAATCTTAACCTAAAGTGAAACTAATAGAATATATCGTACAATGTAACTTTGTGAATTCAATTACAAGTCAGCCCACCTCACATTTAACAAGACCAGTGTGTATGATGGTTAGTTCGGTAGTTTCAGAAGTCAGGATATTCGCTGTGCGGAAGAATCTGAAAAAAAGATTAATCATTTCATCATCTTATCACTCTCAGTTCCAGATTGTGCACTTATGAGCGTCTATGTGAGCGTTGGTACGTAGCGAGGTAATGCATGCTCTAAGGCAAACTATACACTGACTTCGGACAGCCCTTGGCAATAGCATGGCAACTGAGTCAGCTGCAGTCAGGGTACAGCATCGTTGTGTGAAACACATGGGGGGGTCGTACTTTTCCGCTGGGGAGGAGGGGTCGTATTCGGTCATTGGGAGAGGGGGGGGGAGCTCGTTCGCGTGATTGTTCCTGTCTTATGTCTACTATATACCCCACCTACCCGCTTGACAGCAAAATTTTTAGTGAAACTAGGGAAATTTTCGAGAAATTTCGGAAGAAGTGGTATAAAGTCAGGGGAAGTCTAAGAAATTCCCGCTTCACATTGGCTCCCGCTCGGCAGCAAAATTTCTTGGGGAAAAACTGGAATATACGGGAAATTGGTCGATGGGCGTTGGGGAAGGGAAGGGAATCGTAGTCCTGACTAAGAACATCCCTCTCTAGGAGGGAGTGTGGGAAGGGGGAGTCGAACGTACTCCACCACTTCACGATGCTGTACCCTGGCTGCAGTTGCGTGCCACTTACTCCACTGGAAGTACCCGGAAATGAGGCCGTTGAGTAATGGTATCCGAGTGACGTCTCCATACCCCGCCCGCGCTATCCTCAAGGCGCAGCAATTGCTCCGATACCAAGTTCCCACAGCGAAGTAAGCACTTAGCGGTGAAGAACAACCGGAAGTGAGAGGGCACAGAGAGGTGGCACGTCTCACTATGAGCGCGCACGGAATATCTAGACGGCATTCGAGTATCATCACCCTCTAGCCCCGTTCCGGGCACTTCTAGTCTGAGAAGGTGCCACGCTACTACTGCTGCGGACCCATTCACCCTACACATGACAAGGACCAGGATGCGAGGAGTTGAGCGGCACATTTTGTCGTCAAATTCTATTGTCGAGGTTTGCTCAGCACCTTACCCCTCGAGCCGGAGTAGGCGTGGGCAATGACATGGCATAGGGTGGGTTACCCGTTGGATATTTCAGTTCAAGACCCTGTTCTGTGTCAGATAAAGAGCTTATTGCAACCGTTTCGAAAATGAAAATATCTCACGAAAACCTTGGCCACCACCACATTTTTCACATCAAGTACGCAGCCACGCCTACCGCATTTCAGGGAGTTTGAGTGTAGAAGGTGTCACATAGGAAAGAAGGCGCTGCGCTACATAAGCGCGGCTTCCTCCCTGCTTAGTAGACGCTCTATTGCTGTGATCTGGGCAAATCTAGAGCCAGTCTCACTAAAACGGCAAAGGCAGTGGCTAGCCAGGGTGTTAGAAGTCATGATGCCGATTAGGTCTACAATTTTGAGTGTCATGACGATTGTGAGTTGAAATCGAGGACGCAGCGCAACATCCAATGCATAACGTCTGGATCGTGACGGCTAATGACTAAGCAATCTGTGCTCTCACTGTACAGTTTTTCCGGCAAGCCAATGTCATATTTCAGGACGTTATCGAAGGTTATCATCGCTCGCCGATTGCAAAACATACTCTCTTAGCTGGTCATCATTCCTCCTAGTCGAGCCTCTAATGTCATTCTTTTCCGTACTTTTTTTCAGCGTTCTGCACCGTTTTTCTACATCTAAATGTCATCTGAAGGCAAAGTTCACAGCCGCTGTGATTTGAGGACTAAGGGGGCAATGAAATAGTTACTTGTTGTGATAAGCTGCAAACGCTGCCCAAAGGTTTCGATGTGGTGTTGACCTTACTGCATAGTAAGGATCCCTGAAAACTGACTTAAGCTGGGTCAGTGTTGGTTACTAAACAACCAGCCTTTTCCAGTGAGAGCGTAGTTCTTTCTTGTGATAGACTCCAGTACAGTGAGTTGCTGATGAAAGACGACATCAAAGGCAAGCAAGCAAGTGTCATTCATTCTTTTGTCCTACCTGTACCACGAATGCTTACGGTAATGGCAAAAGGAGCAGCGCTCACTATGCATTTTCAGTACAGGCGCGAGGTACACGGCAGGGCGTGCAGTTGCATATGCATCAGTCGGGGTAGTTCCAATAGGGAAGAAGTAACGGTGCGCGCGGCGCTTCCATCAGTGGCCCTTTTCTTCTTAAATCGACAACTAACCAATCACCAATGGTAGAGCAAGGCAGCAACAGGCGAACTCACTCCCCTGTCCAAACGCCCCAAGTGACCGCGACGTTATCGACTGTACAAGGTTAGAAACCCATAGGCAGTACTGGAGCAGGTTGGGCAGTTTACCAGGGTCCGGCTCGCCACAGACGATCCTACGATCTCTACGACTGAGGAAGCGACAAAGACCAAAAGTTAGCCTCAACTGTTGAGGCGCCCAGGCAGCACAGTGTCGAGGGCGGTGCTTTTCGGCTAGTGGAGGATATTTCGTGCGAAATCTTCGTCAGTGGCAGTTCCTACACCGAACTTCGACCTCTGATGAAAGGCAGTGCCTCAAGTGATTGGGACGCATATGGATGCGAATACTCGGAGGAGGACTACTTCGGAGGACGCTCCTACAGCCTTCGTAAGACGGTGGGTACTCATCGTTGAGATTTTGAAAACTCGTTTCACGATTCTAGTAAATCGTACTGCTTACACGGATTCTAGCAGTGCTGAAGTAGGAACGGAAGACCAGCGTGCCTCTTGACATTTGCTCGGGCTGTCTAACACATTCTTTTTATCGTGAAGTTGAGCTGAGTTCTGAGCAATATGTACTTTCGACCCCAAGCGGGACTCATACCCACACGTCAGGTTTTTTGATCGCATACCCTGCCAGGGGCACCTTTTACCCTCCCCCCCACATGGAAACAGTAGGTCAGTAGGTAAATCAGGGTTATTAGTTTAATACTCGAGCAATAGAAAAACACTGTATTCACCTCTAGGAAGGGAGCGATTGGTCTCATTCAGTTCAGAGTCGCATTTGTGCGATTTTTCCATTTTTGAGTGCTCCCAAGATTGAGCGAGCAATAGCAAATCACGAAGTTTGTCGCATCATTACCTCATAGTAAGTCAGTTCAATGATAAGAAATGCCAAATGCACGGAACAGCACTTCAAACTTTCAAATGTGAACGTTTTCGTCAAAAGGACCATTTCCACTCTGATAGTTACGGCGCCGGCAATACATTTACCATATCCTTTCCGTTGCTGTTGTTTCTCCTTATTGGGTATAGGCTAAGTGCGCGCTAAAGAGGAAAGCACAATACCAAGACCAGCTCTGCCCATACGACTAGCTCAGAATACGCCTTACAAGGGAGGTCGTTCAGGGCGTGGTGCGCTTTTCGAAAACGGTTTTTTGCATATTGTAGGGGCTCATGCAAGGACCTGAAAAGTGTGCTTCATTTTCGCTGCGCGCTTCCACGAAAGGTAAAAAACGAGTGAAAAGAAATCTCAGGAATCTGCTCCGTTCTGGGCCTCTATACGGCGTAGGTCACTTGCAACTTTGACCAGTTGCTGAGTGGGGGTCCTTATAAAGGGGCTATTTGAATCGAAGCGAAAAATCGCCGCAAGTGAGCTTCCAACTTGGGTCACGTGCTCAGGGGTGAACGGCTTCTTGCTATGGTTTCATCAACGATAACTGCGGTGCGCACAGTCGAGCAACGGATGGCCTAGTGGATAGAGTGGAGGGTTTCGCAGTCGGACAGTGGGGTGGTTGATGGTTCGGCTCCCCTTGCGTCGCGGCTTTTTGCATTTTTTAGATTTCGCTGTTCTCGCTTCCATTTGTGTCTGCGCATGAATATAACTCGGATATTTGCCATTTATGGGCACATTCCGAGTAGTTTCACCTCATGAGTCAGTGCTATTCAACTATTTCGATTTTCACGCACCATTGAACAAGATTGTTGCTGGACGTTGATCCTCATAGGCTATACAGTGGATCTGATTGCGAATTTAGTAACTTCTGGTGTGGTGTCAATTATAGACAATTTGGGGCCACATCTTCTTTCCACTGAATTCGTTATGTACACCAATATAGGGAACGTTCAGCGCTATTCTGGCGCCAAATTGCGTGGACGCCAAGAATAGGTGTTATATTTGTGATCAGGGCCACTGATTACCACTAAAAACGAATTTTCAGTCAAAACAATTGTTTTGACCTTCTTGGGTTTGCTTATTGGGTTGTCCGGGGTCCGTAGCGTCAACGATACGCATCGCTGTTACGAAGATGTGAGACTCCGCTCACACTGCCGACCAAATGGTCACCTACAACCCGAAAAAGTCAAAAAAAATTTTTTCGCTGAAAACTTGTTCCTAGGGGTAATCGACAGTCCTGATCACGATTCTAGACTTTATTTTCGGTTCCAGTGCCATCTGGCACCGGCAAGAACTGAGTCTGTGCATAATAACGAACTCGAACGAAAAAGCAGTTTTGCTCCATAAAAGTAGGATTGTTCACTTTATCGTGAATGTTTTTGTTAGGACCAATTATTTAGACAAACATGGATCCAAAAAATGAAAAATTGTAGAAAAGCAAAATTTTGTCCTCGGTGGGATCCGAACCATCGACCTATTTTTTACGTTTTTTTTATTCGTAGAAGCGCGCAGCGAAAATGAACCTCAGTTTTCTGGTCCTCGTATGTGCCCCTACAATATGCACAAGACCATTTTGAAAAAGCTCACCACGCCCTGAACGACCTCCCTTGTAGTGGCGGTCGAGATGACCAACCATTGCGAGGACATATCGCTCCTATCGCACTAGAATGAGCGAGCTGATATGCTCTCGCTACTCTTAAGGTTTAGACGAGCCCTTGATAGACAATCTCCATGTTTGGCGTGCCCGGCGCATGAACGCTGAGCGCATGAACAAAGCCTAAACGAGCAGGTGAATTAAAGATCTACAAAGTTCACGGAACGCAGCTCCCACAGTCGCAAACATGAACCTGATCGAGTGAGTGAAATGATTCTCATGAAACAGAGCTCAGCAAGCGTAGCTTCAAGAAGTAAAAGGCCCCAAAGAATTAATATTCGCCTTTCAGGATGCGTCGCACGCCCATTAACTTCCATGTTTGAGGAGCGTAAGCTGGTTTACTGCGATATGACGATACAATGACTTGTGGAGGTCAACCGATGTCAAGTCAGCGTTTGATCCTCTCAGACGAACCTGATACCGACTCGTCGTCGGAAGAAGGGAAGCTAAAGTGGGCTGAGCGGTGGTCAACTCGGGATTTGACCATAGGATCGCAGGCGCACTAGCCTGCCACTTGCCAATAGACCACATTGTTGCAAGCCGAAGAAGTACTTAAAGGCATAATGCACGATAATTTGGTTGCTAGGAATAGTAGCAGGGGTGCCATATAGTGAGGAAAATGATGGAAAAAAAGCGAAGTTGAACCGCCACAAGCCTACGAAAACCTTGTTCTGCATGGCATTTGAGGAGCTATTGTGGAAGAGTTTCCCGTTGGCATCGTGCCAATAACCTCTCAAGGAAGATACTGCTACACTTATGTATTCATGTATCCATGTAGCAACGCTTCATATGAACTGTACTTCATTAAATGAACGAATTGATGATATGAGCGTCAATGTGACTCTCCGGCCAACTGTGAGCGGGAGGGGGTGCAGTGGGCGTCCGGATCGGCTGTTGGACTCAGTAGGGTGTTATTGAACCTTCTTTGAGAAAAGCTCGCGGCGCCTGCTCAGGAGCACCACCCTCTGTCCTGTGTCCTGTTAAGCGTGTTTATCCTACACATTTCGTGAATTTATGGTGCCACTCCTTTAACGAAATTACCGTCCTTCTCCTCCATTTAGCGCCAGCTCAGTGACGTCTTTTTTATCTAAAAGCACGAACCAAGAAAATGGAAGGCGACTTCTCATGAAGTCACTGTGATCAACTCCGTTGGATTCTCCTCTCAACTATTCTCAACTGTAGGAATATGTGTCTGTTTTTTTTTCTTGTCAAACCCCTAAGAAGGGGTTGGGAGGTGGTATAGTGGCAAGCGGTGCCGCTTACCGCACCTGCTGTCCGGGGTGAAATCACGGAGCTCCTGCGCTGGCCATCCCTGGCTCATATGAAGCGAAATATGTTACAGAGTCGCTGGAAGGACAACGGGCAGTGATCTGTGCTGTAGGTGGCCTCGCACTCATCGTTTAAGCCAAATGGCACTGAGAAGCCCAATACGATTGTGAATCGCAGTGGAATGCGTGGCGCGTCCAAAAAAGTGATAGAGCAAAGCTAGATACGTTTCACCCTCTTCAAAGATATGCATGAAAACCAACTACAAGCAAAGTGACTCACATTTCTGTTAAGTACAATTTCGGTAGCCATATCCTGCCAACTAACTGACTTTTCCGACGTATTATCTCTCTAACATTTCCGTACTCAGAAACGTTCCAGGCAAGCCGCTTATCTTTCCATGTCTGCAGAAATTAAAGAATAAAATTCATTTTCCCGGTGAAGCATGTAAGTGGTTATATGGAGGATTTGACGTTGATATTATGCCATGCAAATGGCTCTATTCCAGAAAACGACGTTCATTGATTTAGACGTGATACCGCAAGATCACGAAAGTGTCAATAAGGCAGCGTTCAGACTTCGCAATGACTCGCGGCGTTGCGCTACTATTGCATGGCGCCAAAATGCTAAAAACGGGAACGCAGCAGCAAACGGGTATCCAACGTCGTTAGCCCGTCTTAAGAGGTTGTGGAAGAATAGGAGAGTAGATGCTGCCCGACCTGGCAGGTGGTATCAATCGGGGCCCGCCGCTACTGTTTTGAGAAAGTAGAGAAAAATAGGAAGGTGCATGCCTACTCCACTGTTGTCCTACAGTCTCTCGCAGTAGCGGTTGACTCCGATCGATAGATGCTATGTGATTAGGCAGCACGTACACTCCTATTTCCCCGTACTCTCTCAAAGTAGCCGGCCCCGATCGATGCCTGTCCACGTCTGACTGCATCCCTATCTATCGCACTGGAGCGTCACGGGAGTGGTAGTGCGTCAGTGAGAGATTGAATGTTGCCCAAGAAATAATTTTTGTATGTCCCAGCCGTTGAGGGAAATTTCGAATTTTAATTTTGCACGAATTCAGATGCCCTTTAAAACACTCAGAATACGGCCCCCTCGCCAACAATAGTAGTACGATCAATATAGAACGAACCAAGAGCATAGCGCCATGTAGTACCATCAGTTGCTGCACCTCATCCTGAAAAAGAAAATGCGCAGTATTGCTGAGTTTGAAGAAAATTTTCCAGGAATCTCGTATTTTTCTTTATATTTTTGCACAATCACACGCACAAGTGGGTAATGCGGGCGGTCCAGGTTGCAATGAAGCGCAAGCTTGTAGAGAGCTTTTCCTAGCTAGCTTACCAGAAACTGTAGCATTTCAATGTCTAATCAGTACAGTTCTGGCTCGAATAACGCACTTGCAATGTCGCCACAGCGTGGATCTTCTGCGCTACACCCTATCATGAACTTTCTATGTTTGGTTATATCTTGAACACAAGGCTGAAAGACACTGTTTACCCTTTACTGCCCCATCATCCGATACCAGGCCGGTTTTTAACAAATTTTTTAATCGGGGTAAACTCGGCTGTATTAGTCCCCTGGGGCAGTTCGACCTACTGAACACCAATACACGTCTGCTTAGAGGTAACGCCAAGGGGCTTGGTATCCGGGGCCCGGCATCATCTGTTCAGGAAAAGTACCCCCAGGACTAGATTTTCAGGAATTTTAGTGAACAGTAGTTTGGCTCACTCCGCGCTTCCTGACACCGCCCTGAACTTCCATGTTGAGAACTACACTTCCTATTGTCCGCTCATAAGCGATAATAAGGGTAAAAAGCGAAAAGGACAGTAATTTCGAAGTGTTCCTATTTCATGCAGACATATGTAATCATTATAATTTATAAATATTATGACTACATCATAACCCATTTTTCTGCATTAAATTAATAGTGAACTCACCACATTCTCCACGTGGTGCAAAGAAAACACCGGTACAACTTCTGCTGGCGGTTTATATGGTACTGATGAATCATAAATATTCGGATCTAATACGTTATTAATGATCCTACGCTGTAAGAGGAATATTTATCTTATAATTAGTTTCAAACTATTTGAGATTAAATTATCTGTATGAAAATCATAAACCTCATTCAACTGCACAGCTTCGAGATCTTTGGACATTTCACTAATTGGAGGTAGTATAAGTGATAGAATATTGAATAGAGTAAAATCAACTGCATCACCCATTTTCGTAGAAAAGAATGTCAGGGGAACGAGTGAGCATCGTTTATGAAATGCAATCCTTCTAGGCTCCGATGTGACAAGTTTATTTCTATGATGTAATCAGCCCCTGACGAATACAGGCGTGATCGAACTATGTGCTATTTAACGATAGGTTGGGGGGGGGACGCAATGAACAGACGGAGCTCTATGTGGACGCTTAGGGAGTAATAGTTTCTCAGCTGAGGCGTATTTTTGGAATTCTCAGGTTTCAGAATAATTCACTCAAATGTCGAGAATGTGGAGAAGACAAGCAACCATTCAACCATATGTAGAGAGGGTAGAGCATCGTTGCGTGAAACACATACGGGGGTGATATTTTTCCGAGGGGGGTGCGTATTCGATCGTTATCGGGAGAAAGGGGATTGTAGCCACCCGCCCCCCTCCCCCCGCCCTCTCGACAGCAAAATTTTTGGGAAAGTAGGGAATTAGGGAAGTTTTCGGGAAATTTTGGAAAAAGTGGCAGGAAGTTGGGGAAAATCTGAAAATTGGTAGAAGGGGGGGTCGTATTGTCTCGCGGCTTTTCCTGTTTCACATGTGCTATTTACCCCCCCCCCCCGCCCACCGCTCGACGGCTCGGACTCGCTTTCGAGTGAGGAGGCAAGAGCGCCGTAGAGGGGGAGCGGCGCTACGAGACCCTCGAAAACAAAGGGGAGGGGGTGTGTACACGACTCGACTAAGAGTCCCGCACAATGTGTCCCTGCCCCGCCAGCCGACAGGAAGAAATGTGGGTAGAAAAATTCGAAATCATTCCATTCGTCTGCTTCCCCCTCGGACGGTTGGTTTCCTTCCACCGATGACTTCGCCGTCAAACCAAGCTGGAAGTAGCGACTCCCGTGCTCGGACCTTCCTGAAGATAGCCGCAGTCAACGTCCGCGGCCTTTGTTCTCAACAACGACTCGCGGATTTTGAAGCCAACGTCAGGAAAGTGAAGTTCACTCTGATTGGATTATCCGAAACCCACGCCCCTAAAACGCGTGAGTGTCTTCCAACTGGATCAGGCTTTTGTATATACAATAGTGGACGTTGCGACGATACCCCCACATATGCTGGAGTGGGATTTTATATGTCCACATGGATGAACAAAAAGCTCGTCGGTATCCGTTACATCAGCGATCGTGTAATACAAGCCGAGTTCCTTATAAGAAAGAGACGTCTCAGGATTATTCAAGTTCATGCGCCGACTTCTGCCGCAGCAGATGAAGAGTATGAGCAGTTCCTTGACGAGGTAGAAGCAGCACGACATCCGTTTAGAAGTCCAGCTGTACCCGAAATAATCTTCGGCGACTTCAATGCAGTCATAGGACGCTCTCCCAACCATGTGCCTGGATGCGGACCTCATGCTACTGGTAGACGAAACGTTAGAGGCACGACACTGCTGTCATTCTGCTCCGCAAATGGCCTTTTAGTCGCCAACACATTCTTCAAGAAAAGGTTTGGTAGAAAATGGACATGGAGAAGCCCAAACGGAACCACCCGTACTGAAATAGACCACGTTACTATGCCCCAACCTAAAGTTTGTCCGCGATGTGACAACGCTTTCTGGATGCAATGTCGGTAGCGATCACCGCATGGTACGAGTAACTTTGGCGATGTCAATGAAGCCTGCTCATTTCCACCAAAAAGCAAGGCCCTTGCCACAGAGCTTCGACAAGCTGAAACTACAAGCTGCAATGGCAATGCAGCCCCGTCCAGCAAACGGTTTCCGGATTTCAAGCTTCTTACAGGTGGCTAAAAATTGCATGACCTTGGCTCAAACTTCTCAGCAGCGAGTGGAACGAGTCTCTGCTCGCACAAGGGCACTGATGGCAGAGCGAAGAAAGCAGAAGTTTGGATTGGCAAATGGCTCCACGAATCCCCTGCTATACACGTTGCTATGTAAACAAGTCCGATGGTCACTCACAGATGATTTGCGGAAGCACAACGACCGACTCATGGAAAGTGCCATCGAAAAACTAAGGATAAGGCATGCTAGATACTGATTGGCACTATTTCATAAAACTAAATATCACAACTTCAAACGTGCAGATGGTTCTTTGACGACAACACCACTAGAAGCCATTGATACCGCGGCTGCGTTCTACAACGAGCTCTACCGCTCCTCCCAAGGACCTTTTGTTTACTCTGTAACTGGCCCGTTGGGACGGCCGGTTACTGCAGACGAACTCTGTAAAGCATGCCGTGGCATTCGTGGAAACACTGCATCTGGCCCTGACGGAATCCCATCCAGTGTAACGAAGTATCTGGTCCCCATGTGTGCAAACGATCTCGCAACCGAACTCAACCAATTTTTCGAACTCAACCAGTTCCCGGAAAGTTTCGTTAAGGCTAAAACCATCCTTCTCTATAAAAAGGGTGACCCTTCCAACATCGGCAACTATAGACCAATCTCCTTATTGTCGACGCTCTTCAAAGTTCTCACCCGTGCACTAGCTCATCGTGTGGAAGAAGAAGTAATGAGCTCTATTCCCATTGAGCAAGCTGGATTCAGACGCGGTTTCTCCACCCGTGACCACATTATGTCCGTCAATCTGTTGATGGAAAAATGCCGTGAATGGAAGAAACCACTACATATGGTGTTCGTTGATTATCAAAAAGCCTTCGACACTATCGAATTCAATGCTATCTGGAGAGCATTAGCTAAATATGGAGTAGACGACTGTACGATTCGGATGATAAAGCAGCTCTATGCTGCTGGCCGATCATTTCTGACTCTCAGTGCTACAGAGAAGATGATCGACATACAACGAGGAGTTCGACAAGGTGATTCACTATCTCCATTGCTGTTCATTCTGACACTCCATTCCTGCCTTGACGACATTGACTGGGAGGATCAAGGGTACCCCGTCTCCATTGGTCAACATCGTCTCAATTACCTCGCATATGCTGACGATCTTTTTCTGTGCTCTCCAACTATTGATGGATTACAAATAATGCTCCGTAAACTCACTAGAGCGACCAAAGAGGCTGGACTAGAAGTGAACGCAAATAAGACCAAATGGATGTCAACCAGCTCCAACGGCCATCAACTCAGAGTAAACGAGGTGGAGATTGCACAAGTAACATCATTCGTCTACCTGGGCCAAGTTATCTGTTTTCCGCAGGAACGCGGTCAGGAAATCAGCTCTAGGATCAGCTCGGCATGGAACATCCACAGAAAAGTCAGAACTCTACTAAGAAGCAAGATGACGCCGATGCGGATCAAACGACGTTTCTTCCATATCTGCGTAATGCCTGCACTACTGTACGGATGCGAGACATGGGCACTAACGAAGGCGCATGAAGAACGTCTGCGAAGAACTCAGCGAAGAATGGAGCGACAGATGCTCGGTCTTCGACTCAGCGACAAGGTATCGAATACAGCTATAAGAGTCAGGACACAGCTGAAAGACGTCGTTGCTGAAGCTAGAAAACGCAAATGGATATATGCGAATAAACTGATGACCAGAGATCAAACACGATGGGAAGTTCGATTGTTGAATTGGAAGCCCTCCGGAAATAGAGCAGTCGGAAGGCCACGAATGCGATGGGAAGACGATCTCAAGATGTTTGCTGGAACGGACTGGAAGAACATCGCGACTACACCCGAATGGTTTCAGAGCATGGCCCGTTTCTCTGTATATATCAGATGAGTAGCGGAATAAATAATAAAAACTGGAAAATGTGGGAAATTGGTAGTAGGAGGTGTAGGGTGGAGGGGGGGGCGGTCGAACCGAGACCCTCCCCCAGGTGCGGGGGGTCTTACTGACACCACCATTTCACACATCACGATGCTGTACCCTGTGCGTGGAGCTTTGTTCCTACCAGAAAGGGGTCCTATAAACCCTGCCTTGGAGGGTCGCACCGACTTCTTTTTCAGGACGGGGTCGTATCTAAGCCGTCATTTCCATATTCCCATGATGAGCCTATTCGTGAACTTTTCACGATAGTGTCTCCACCTATCCAACTTCAAACTATGCTGGTTATTTTTTCAAATTGCAACCCTTAGGCACTGATCAGTGAAGAATTCTGGAATTCAGAAAGAAAAAATGTTGGGCTATGTAAAAAAGCGAAACGTGACGCAACCTTTTACTCCCAAGTGGATACTAGTTTGACTGGAATATTTTTGCTCAAATGGTTTTAAATTGGAACAGGAGAGTTCTTTACGAAACGCGCGTCATCTTCTCAATTGTAGCATTTCGCCTAAAAGCCGATAACGTTGACGCCACAAGAACTCATTCCGTGAGAATTAGTTGCGAACTTCATTCGTTATTCAATCGTTTCCTAGAAAATTCTGGCAAATTTCTTAATGAGTCGATGGTTGTCAACTTTCATATGACGGCAAACGGCTGTGTGGAAACACTCTGTCACCTACGATTCCTTACTCAATTCTAGTTTAAAGTACATATTTGGTTTGGTCTATGCACTCTATTTATCTCATTAACTGGCACTAGGCGCTATTTATAGTCGTCCTCGTTGCAGACGCTGGGGGGGGGGGATAAAATCAAGGTTTGGTAGGTTTGGAAACTAATCCCCCTATCCCCCTATACATATAAACCAGAAGTTGTCTGTGTGTCTGTCTGTCTGTCTGTCTGTCTGTCCGGAAATTCGGCATCACCTGAAGAGCCACTTTGAGGGGGCGGGTCAAGGGTGGGATGAGTAGGGCATGGGCCAAGATGTACGGAACACGCATGAACTGAGCTAAGCTCCGCCCACTGTGGGCGGGGCGTGCGCACAGTTGTGAGCTACATATTTCAAAAATTCGTAAATTCGGTTCCAAAAGAGCCCGAGAGTGGAAAATGTGGCAAATGATAGGCAATCAGTTGGCGGACGAAATGAGTGAGACATACCCATTATGGGCGGGCGTTCCATAGGTGGGCGGTGCTTGCCACAAAACATTCAAAAATTCGTAACTCGGTTCCAAATGAGCCCGGAGAGTGGAAAATGTGGCAAATGATAGGCAACAAGTTGGCGGACGAAATCAATGA